CTCTCACACTTAATTTTACTACTATAGATAGAAAATACCCTTAAAAATATCTTGTGAGTAAAGAATCCAGTACTAAAGGCAGGTGAAATGATAAAGGTGGCGTAGAGGTCATTCTAGTTAAAAGGGGAAGTCTACTAAGTGCAATAACTAAAGAACAGAGGTGTTTCTTTTTAATTCTTAAACCAAAAAATCTTATAAATCTATTGATAGATTTATAAATCTATTAGTATCTGAAGATGTATGTAGTTGGAAGTTTTCCTGTATCCCACCCAGTCTGCAGCCACTCAGACCCAAGTAAACACACACACACAGTCTTACATTAACTAAAACTGCTTGGCCATAGCTCAGGGTTACTACTAACTAACTCTTACACTTAAACTCAGCCCATTTCTGTTCATCTATCTCTCCACATGTTCCATGGCTTTATCTGTGTACCATTATATGCTGTTCTCTGGATGGCAGGATGATGTCTTCTGACTCAGCCTTCCTCTTCCCAGAATTCTCCTTGTCTGCTTATCCTGCCTGTACTTCCTGCCTAGCTACTGGCCAATCAGCATTTTATTTATCAACCAATCAGAGCAACACATTTACAACATACAGAGCAATATCACTCATCAGATGTAAATCAATTAAGTGTTTAAAAAACAAACCAGGGTTGGAGAGATAACTTAGTGGGTTAACGCTTGCCAGAGCAAGTGTGAGAATTTGAATCACCATAGCCTATGTAAAAGATGAGCATGGTAATGTCTCTGCATTCCCAGCATTCTTATAGAAAGACCAGGAATAGACACACGAGAATTGTGGAAACTCATGGGACCAAGCTAACCATGCACGTGCAGCAGAAAGACAACTAGAGACGTTGTCTCAAATAGGTTGTTGTCTGACCTTCTGTGTATGTATGCTATCTATGTATATAGAACCTAAATAAACACAGGCATTCACACACACTGTATACATAGAATCTTCAATCAAAAAATACAATAGATTTGTCACAAGGTAAAAAGAAATGAATTCCCTACTAGAATACAAGTGTTCTCAGTCTTCCTAATGCTGTGACCTTTTAATACAGTTCCTCATGTTGTGGTGGCCCACAATGAAGAAAGTATTTTGTTGCTACTTCATAACTGTAATTTTGCTATTATGAGTCATAATGTAAATATCTGATATGCAAGATATCTAATATGTGATCCCGAAAGAGGTTGTGACCCACATGTTGAGAACCACTGTATTATATAAGATGTTTACACCATACATGCTATTTTAGTAGAAAAATGTATGAGTTTAAAATACAATGCACAATGTGGTGGCTATTCTTGATTGTCAACTTAATTACATCTGGAATTAACTAAAATCCCCAAATGGAGGGCCACACCTGTAAGAGACTTTTGCTTAATTTGAAGTGGGAAGATCTACTTTTAATATGGATTTTTCAAGTAGAAAGACAAGCATTTAATCCCGATCTTGAGGCAGGAAGACACACCTTTTGAGCTGGGAAACCCCACCTCTAATCTGGAACACATTTCTGTTGGAAGCGCATGGAAGAAGGAGGCTTTTGCTCTTTGCTTGCTTGCTCTCTCCTTACTAGCAAATCCATTCCTTCACTGGAACCAGACCCAACTTCTTCAAGATTCTAGCATCCAGCCTCATGGACTGAACAACTACTAGATTCTTTGGCCTTCTGTTCATAAGCATCCATTTATGGATAAGCTGGACCACAGCCTGTAAGTCATTCCAATAAATCCCCACTGTGTGTATGTGTGTGTGCGTGTGATTGTGGTGGTGTGTGTGTGTGTGTGTGTGTGTGTGTACATTATAAGTAGTTATATAATTTTTATGTATGGAAAAGATTCACTTTTAAAAGCTTAGAACACTGGAGAGATGGCTCAGCAGTTAAGGGCACTGACTACTCTTCCAGAGGACCAGGGTTCATTCCCAGCACCCATAAGGTGGCTCATAGCCATCAGTAACTTCAGTTCCAGGGCATCCATTGGCCTCTTCTGATGTACATGTACATAGAGACATGTAGGCAAAGCATTCATACTCAAAGAATAAAATAAACCTTATTTCTTAAGTTTAGAAACCTATGCAGGAAGCTCAAAAGCACCCTCATAAACTGGATTTAGAAGGATTTTGCATCCTGGGGGAATCTTTGAAAAAGGACTCCAGGAAATCCCCATCAGTTCACCAAGTAGCATAACCAGATGGTGAACAATAAATTTATTTATAAAGTCCATCATTATGCCTAATTTGGGGGCTTTGAAAAGGAGACATGACCAAGATCAGAGGGTGGTGTAAAATATTTTATTTCTTCAATGCCAGTTTGCTTAATTATGCCTCCTAATTGGGGTTCATATTCAAGGAGTTATTTGAAGATTATTCATCTTCCAAATTACACATAACATTTTTCTCCCTCAGAACTCTGTACCATTTCTAAACATCTACATATTCCTCTAAATTAAGTAGAAAAATTGAGGCTGCCCATCTGATGCCAAAGAGATACTGGCAATCACAGGCAGTGACCTCATAAACTGGAAAGGGCTCTACTGAATAAATACAGTGGGCAGAGGGGAGGGGGTGGCCTCCTTTAATGACTGAAGGAAAACTGTACTGCAAGTACACTCCCATAAGCCAAGTTTTTCTCATTATTTAGAGACTATTTTACTAGTTTCTGTAATCAAACCCATGTAGATAAGACCTTATATAATTTGTACAGTACATGAGCTCCATACAAATGAGGAAGCATAATCTTCCTAAATCAATACAGTTGTTAATTTCTGCATAATGTCAACTCATCATGGAGAATGGAGATACTTTTCTATGAATTTGACAGTACAGTTAATTTTGAGAAATTCAAATTACATGTGTGTGTGTACATGCACCCACATGTGTGTGAATATGCAGGTGTGTGTAAAAATATCAGCAACAGCAGCTTGTTCTGCATCTATGGCAACAACAGATTTCCTAGGTTCTGCAGAGTTACAGAGACATCCAGCATACTCCATTAAAAAAAAAAAGACAGCAAAACACCAAATCCCAGAAAACCATGAAGTTCTGGGACTATTGTGGTACCTGACACCATTTTTTCTCATCAGACAGCTCTTAACAATTCTGGTGCTGTCCACAGCTTGACCACATTGTGAATTAATTCTGGTGCTGTCCACAGCTTGACCACATTGTGAATTAGTCCTAAGCTCACAATGGCATAGATTGTTGAGCTTTAGCGGGGAGTTTGACAGCAACACATTAATATCAGATCACACTGTTGTTCTATTAAATCAATGTCTTCTTGGAGCTTCAGTAAGGAATTGCACAAGTTGGAAACTTAACCCTAAGACGTATATACAAAAGACAGTAAAAACTGAGAAGGCCAGGGATTAATTCTGTAAGGTTCTAATGACCAATCTGATAACTTTTAAAAATATGAAATTCTCTATTTTCTAGATATATTCATCTGTCCAAATAGATCTCTACAGGTTGATAACAGGATGTGTCTTCAGTTGTTCAGGTCCCTTAGCACCTCCCTCCTTTAACAAGGCCCCTCTCTACCTATCGAGTACTGCCTGGCAAATGTCTAGTGAAAGACTAGACTGGTGTGTGGGCTACTGCCCTGGGCAGAAGCAAGTTATATAAACTTTGTAGAGACTGCAGAAGAGTTAAATTGAAGAATAAAATTCTGAGCATCTCATGCCACTGAGAGGGATGGGGGAAGGAAAGGGAGGAGAGGAGATTGAGCCTGAAAAGGAAGAAAGGCAACCAGACTTGCCCAGGAACAGGAATGGGGTACCGGAGAAGGATGTGAGAATGGAAGATGGAGTGGAAGAGATTGTGTGAGGGCTGGACAAGAGCCAATAGATTTCCATCTACACACAGGGCTATTGGGCCTAAATGATGCAATTTCTAGAGTTTCTCTGAAAGTGTATGTGTTTAAAGGCCTGAAAAATTTATGGAAGGTATATTTTTCACTTTTAACTTACACTCCTCATTTGGACATTCATCATCACATTTCCAGTATTTGCCTTCAGGTTGAACTTATTAAGAAGGTGGGGAAGCACCTTTGGTGATTAGGATGAGAATGCCCTCCCCCATGTATTTTAATGTTTAGGAAGGATTAGGAACTATAGCTTGTGGAGGAGATGCATCATTGGGGGGGGGGTGAGTTTTGAGGGTGCAAGGCCTACTCTCTCTCTCTCTCTCTCTCTCTCTCTCTCTCTCTCTCTCTCTCTCTGCCTGCTACCTGCTGTGTATGAATCAGATATAAGCTCTCAGCTACTGTTCCAGCACCATAATGGTATGGTTGCTGCTATAATGCTTCCAATCATCCTGATCACGGACTCATTCTATGAAATTGCAAGCAAGCCCCCAATTAAATGCTTTTTTTTATGAGTTGCCTTGGTCATGATGTCTCTTCATGGCAATAAAACAGTGACTAAGACAGCACCTACTACGTCTCCCTCAGGAAAATATGGTGATCTATGTGTCCTGGGTAGGACTCAAGGACTCTATAAAGTCCATCAAGGATTCTAGGATCAGGACTGCTCCAACTTGTATTATCTTTTTCTACTTGTCATTTGCCTTGTAAGGAATTCACCAGAGCATCTCTTCCAACACCAGAAGGGAGCAATGGGTAGAAGCATGTAATAGAACATTCAAATATTAAATAGAATGCTGGTTCTGGTCCATAATCTCCATGATACCAAATTTTTAAAAGAACAACAACAAAAAAGATTTTTTAGTCCGTTTGGCAGTAAAGCCTGACCCATGGGAAGAAGAGATCAATTCCCATGGAGAATATCAAACACGTCATGCAGGGGATCTGCCCTTCATGGAGTAGAGCAAAAATGCCCCTTTTGCTCAAATATGTGTAAGGAATGTGACTTCCTCCAAATTGTACAATGTGAAAAGGAGAGTAAGTTTGTAGTAGAGAAACTACAGCTCGAGTGTCAAGGTTACCAATAGTGATGTTATGTTCAAAGCTTTTCTTAATGAATGCTGAAAATGATATTTATGTGGTCTTCCCACACCTCCTCAGTAAAATCCAGTGGCCCAAGGCTAATCATGAAAGAAATACCAGACATCTCAACTTAATGTTAGATACCTGAGTGCCGAGGTCATCCAAGACAAGAAACGTGTGAAAAGCCATAACAGCCAACCGGTGACAGTGATGTGACAACCAATGTCATGGTGCATCCTGACTATACCCTGGAACAGAAAAAGAACAGTAAGTAAATACTAAGAAATGTAATACAGACTTTGTTAAATGTGTCCATGCTGATTCACTGACTATGACAAGGGAAGATATCAAATTATTTTTATTAGATTTATCTATTTGGCATGTGTACGTGTAGGGCCACACTTAAGCCATGGCTGTCAGAAGATAACTTATGGGTTATCTCATTTCACCATGTGAGTTCTAGGAATTGAACTCTAGTCATGAAGCTTCGTGAGAAGCTCCTTCATCCGCTGACTCATCTGCTGACCTAACAAATGCATGTTAATAGGAAAAACACACACAGGACGTGGGAGGACTTCATTTCTTTGCAAATTTCCTACAAATTCAAAGCTGCTCTAAATTTTTAAAATAAAATTTACTTAAAAAATAATCATAATTGCCATAAGGGTATTTATATTTACTGAACAGATGTTCATTTGATAGGTTGTGCCATGAAAATTTAATAACCACAATAATATATTAATCAAATACTCTAACTTCAATATAGATATATTTAGAGATAACTGAATTTTTGAAAAGTGCTGAATTCTAAAAATACTTGGCCCCAACGGTTTCAGATAAGTACTGATAGTGTTAGCAATAATAATTGTGATTGCATTGTAATCTTATAATAACTTCAACAAGCACTTTCAGTTCAGCCCCAAACTCTAGACAAGATACTGGTATTCACTGTTTTCTACAAAAGGTAAATTATGTTTATATAGTGAGAAGCTGTTCCTGCTCAGGAACTCCTTGGGAAGGGATTAGAATCTGAAAGCATAAGAATGGGAGGTGAGGTGGTCATTATTTTTGGCTCTTCAAATCTCTCTCTTTATGCAAAGGACTGTAATAATCAAAGAAGGTCATCTGGACCCTCCAAAGCAGGAATCTCTAGCCTGGACCCCAACCTTAATTGGGGTTCTCATGTACAGGCCCTAGGGATGGAGCCCTAGTCTTCTGGAAGAATGCTCTTAACCACTGAGTTATCTCTCCAGGTCCCAAGGCTGGGGTTCCAATACTGATCTTTGATTTATCTGATCTTTATTCTATCCTGATGATCTGCCAAAGAGAAAATAGATTCAGTGACTACAATATCAATTTGGAGAACTTGAGAAAATTTTGACACATTACTTTTATTTGTAAATCAAACAGCATCAAAGAACACAAATTAAGTTCTATTGATTTGCACAAGATGCTGGCAAGCACTCTGATTCAAAATTCTTTTAAAGTGTGAAATTCTTAGGTCCTTAGTCTTTTACTTTGATTTTAAGCATATCAGCACTTTCTATGTGCTGGACAGCTTATTTGGGAATTGGTTCCTTTCTGAAGGATACCAGGTCTGAAGGGATAGATTGATGCTCTTCACAAGTGGGAAAATAAGATTAAAGGTAGCACAAACTCTTTTTTCTATCCACAAAGCATTATTAAAAGATGAAGATAGTTGGTTTTTTTCACATTATACTTGCCAGTTTCTCTATTGAGTGTGTGTTGCTGGGGAAGGGAAACAAAATTTAAAACTAGCAAACTGGAAATCTCTAGTAATTTTGGTTATACTGTCTTTTCCTGATATTCACAGGAGGTACATTTCAGCTCTGTCTTCATGTCCTTGGCTGAGCTCCACCTATATGACTAAATGTCAGACATTGTTCCTTGAAAGCAGGGGCTGTTAGTCAGTTCACCTTTCCCAGGATCCCACACAGACATGATGTGTTACACTCTGTCCTGAGATGCTCCATTCACTGGTGGCAGCTGAATGCCCATTGTAAACCATGGGATGTCTTGGAAGTGCCACCAATCCTAGTACTGGAGGAAGTCACTCAGGATACAGGATTTATTTAGATGGGTCCACATTCCTTCTGACTCTCCCCAGACCTGCCCAGGCCACCAATCCATCTTTTGCTTTTTCTATTTCCTGAGTCAGCAAGCATTTGGCAGCCAAGGCAAACCTGCTTTTCTGTTTCCACAGGGGAGACAGCTGCTTCCCCTGGCTGTAGTTCACAGCTTACCTCTATGATTTTAGATGTCACAATAAGCAGTCTTTTCTAAGTTTCACACATGAACAGAGTCCTAGAACAAGTGAAGTTGTCCCTCCCTGTCTCCTGGGAATGCCAGGACAAGTATGCTTTTTTTTTAATTAAAATATAATTACATCATTGTCTCCCTTCTCTTTCTGCCTCTAACTCTTCCATATGCATCCCCTTGCTCACTCTAAAATTCATGGCCTCTATTTCATTAATTGTTGTTACATATATATGTGTATATAATACATATATATTCACACATATATAAATACAACCTTCACAGTCTGTATAATGTTACTTGTATGTGTATGATTTCATGACTGACTGCTCATATTGGATAACCATTTGGAGGTTCTCTGGGAAAGACTATTTCTTCCATTGTCAGCAACCCTTAGTTGCCTACAGTTCTTTGTATGGAGACCATTACAGAAAAGGACAAATGATCAAATTGCAGAGAACAAGTGACCAATGACCGTGTGGCACCTAGCTCCAACTGATAGGTTTACAACACAACTCCTATACCAAAGGCTCAGGGGTCATATCGGATAGGGGTAGGAAAGATTGCTAAGAGCCAGAGGAACAGGGAAGTTGCTGTGAGATTTTTCTCATGGAAATATCAGAGAAGCTACTGTAGCTAGAGTTTTCCTGCCTTGCCCACAGTCAGGACAAATCTTTGTCACCTGCAAGTCCCACAGCCGCTCAGACCCAACCAAGTAAACACAAGAGATTTATTTTGCTTACAAACTGTATGGCCGTGGCAGGCTTCTTGCTAACTGTTCTCATAGCTTGAATTAACCCATTTCTACAAATCTATGCCTTACCACATAGCTTGTGGCTTACCGGCATTTTTTCATGCTGCTTGTCAGGGTGGCAGCTGGCCATCAGTCCTTCTGCCTTCCTGTTCTTTTTTTCTCCTCTCTATTAGTCCCGCCTATACTTCCTGCCTAGCCATGGCCAATCAGGTTTTATTTATTGACCAATCAGAGCAACTTGACATACAGACCATCCCCCAGCAAGCTCCACCCATGAAGTCTTATCAACATGGCCTAAACAAAACCTAAACAGGAAGGACAGCAACAGACATGCTCATAGGGGACTCAGAAAGCTCACAGACCTCATGTGCTTCTTTATTGGGGTCGGCCTGCTAGGCAAGGCTGTCAATCATGGCAGAGGGAGAATGTTACCTGGGGCCAACTGGAACTCAGTGCAGAGGGCAGGAACTTCTTTGTTCTTTGTTGCCTTTAGATTTTACCTTTTATCAAAGCTTTTTCCCAAATAACATTGATCATTTAAATACAATTTTATTATAAAACATACTATTTAATCCAGTGCCCTGGGAAAAGAATGAAAATATCCTTGGTCAAAGCCAATCAAATACATATTGACTGTTATTCATATATCTCCTCATAAATCTTACACAGACTCTGCCTAGAAGGGAAGAAACATTCACAAAGTACTTAACACAGCTGGCTCTTACTGATTCCATTCCTTAAATGTTTTGTGAGAGGTAGTTACTGTTATCATGTCTAAGGAGGCTGCCCTGTCCTTTAAGAGCAAAGCTGTAGCATTCTGCACATGCCAGCCTATTGAAGATCAGGGCTCAGTGTGGTTCAAACAGAAAGCAGTTTGCTGTGGGGGCCCACAGAGGCTCCCTTGTCAGGCCTTACTCAAGGTCAGAAAGTCTGAGCTTGCTTTGCCCAGCAAGGCTGCATAATAGAATGATTTGGCCAAAGGCATGGGTACCAGGTATTTTGAAAAGTCTACACTTGTTGGTACTTTATACCTTGACCTTGAATGGAGGAGGTCTTTTGCCCCTCTCCTTGCTGAAGCCCATCATGAATAAACTCAGGGCAACTGAGTTTTGACCCAGGTCCCTCCCAAATCTACCCTGTGTCTCTGCCTTTTTTTCTTCATCTACATCTATATTTCTTCCTATTATTTCTCAGTTCCTCACTCCCCCATTCAAGAACCCTTTGACAGGTTGGGGCTGGTCCCCCAACAATTTGTCTCCTCCTACCTCTGACATGTTCAATCTGCTACCTTCCTGTGTAGCCCCCATCACTAGATAGGTCCCCCACCAGCCATCTCCACAGCTGACCCAGGTATATCCAAGCCATAGAGTTAGTATCCTTGTTCGGATGATTTTAGTATCTACACTCCAAATCTAAGCTAACCTACAAATTCTCTCTCTCTCCACACTTAGGTCCTCTTCATGCCTAAGGAGCTTGTTGGGAAGGCATCCTTGTCAGCTCTCTCATTCTACTGTGGGTTCCAGAGGTAGGGATGGGTTGGGAGGCAAAGAAAGAAGATGGGTCTCACTTGTGCCTCTGCACTTGGCTGGCAGCCAAGCCTCCTTGGCCTGCTCTTCCTGAGGTTTTGGAAACACCACTCCCATTATAGCAAATACCTTACCCATGGCTACCTTACTGAGCCATGATCTTCTTGGCCCAGGAAATTCTCTGTCATTCTGAGGGCACTCTACTTCATCAGGTTCACCTCACTCTCCCACACATTTCTCTGTGGGGAACTGTGTTCCGCTGACCCAGTCTGTCCTCCATCAAAGTCCGATCTCACCCAGTCCAATCAGAAAGCACCTGTGCTCTCAGTGCAGCGCCTCTTCCCTCTCCTGCCCCCAACTCTACCCAGGATGCCTTAGGGACTTACTCCCCTCCCACCCTGGGCCTCCATAAAACAGAGCAATGCATTCCCAGAATGGATGCAAAACCCTCTATTAAATGAGTGGGACACAGAGTCCCTCTCTGCAGCAATGGGGACCACACAGCACTATGACAACTCTCCTCAAGCAAGCCCTTCCTACCTGCACTTAGAACTCCAAAACACAGGGCCTTCTCTTCAGTGCCCTGGGGTGAGATGCCTGATTAAGACTGGCAGAACAAGTTCTGAGGTATCCTCTCTGCAAGGCCTGCAGAGGTAATCAGTTGGCACCTCAAGTTAGAAAGCCAAGGAAC